TATGACAAATTGAATTCTAGATATTGAAATGAGTCTTCTAAATCGTATTTCAGGCTTAATGGAACTAGATTCATATTGGGGTGGGGGTGGGGTGGGCTGTCAAATTAGCAAGTCAATTGAATGGACTACTCTTAATCAGGGATCTTTCCCTTGCTTCCAATTCTAAACACAGGACATTGGTTTTATGGTGTGTGTTGGGGGCGGGGGCAGTGACGTTCAGGACTTCTCTTTAACGTGTACACAATTTTAAACATATGACCCCTCGTTTTTATGGTCCAGGTGGATTTTCTTTGTGGATTAACCTCATCAATTTCCTGTGGAAATCACCTCCCCAACCAGTTTGATATCCCCAATTCTCCCTGTGGAGATGACCTCCCGGACCAACACGACCCCCCCCCCCCCGTATAGATGACCGCCCGACCAGCCTGAACTCCCCAATTGTCCCTGTGGAGATAGCCTCCCCAAACCGACCTAAATATCCACAACACCTTCTATATTACATTTCAAACTTTTAACTGCATCCTTTATTAAAGGTCAGAAGGGGTCAAAGGTGACGAGGGGTCGCCATGTTTTACAGGATATGACATAATGTCAAACTTATCAAGAGAATATCAGGTCATAAAGATTTCTAACGGAAGATAATTATTAAAGTTTCTACCGGTAGCGTGATTTTAAAATGCATCTTTTTAACATGCAAGAGTGATACTTCCTTCCATCAATTAGCGTGGGCCAGACGAGTCAAAACTGCAAAATAGACAAATTGAACAATAGTTACTCCACCCTTGATTTGAAAAGAGGAACCACGGTGGCTAAGTGGTTAAGGCGCTGGTTCGCTAGCCTGGAGGTCGGGTGTTCGATCCCTGCATTGGCCGAGAAAGTTCATCCAGATTTTCTGACAAGGGGAAAACACACTGAAACACCAAAGGGAATTATTTTTCGGGTTATATCGGTATCGAACTCTGGAACTTCGGGTTTACGAGTCAGCGTGGCATTCGTTTATCATGCATACTCTGTCCGGTCACGACAGTCGCTACAAAAAGAGGAACTTGGGGTCACCACAAAAACGAGACTTTTAGAAAGTAACATAAAAAGAAGAACAATAATCTGAAAATCTGTGAGGCCCCATGTAGATTCTGAAACCCTAAGCCCGTAGATTGTTTCGCTTATTCCTATATCCGACATTGTTAATAAGACAATCTCTATCGATATATCGTAAGTTTTATTTTATCACGTGATTGACGTGAAGATTATAATACAAAGATTAATAATCGGTGCGGTGGATTAGTAGGGATTATGTGACGTCAGAAATATATAATGACGTAACCGTGTATGTGATTTATAACAATGCATTGCATCTATCAATGAATAGCCATAGGCTTAAATACAAAGCTGGCAATAAAAATACTTAACGATAGCCTTTACAATGCAAACTTCCAGATGATCACTTCACAGTTGTGTCAGCTGTCAATGTGCAGTAAAAAAACCAGTCATTGAGTCAACTGCCGGAGTTTCGATCCCCCGATTGTACGTGACAAGGAGTAGGGTCGCCTGTCCAATCTCGTAGGTTTTCTCCGGGTCCTCCGGTTTCCTCCCACTGCTAAAGACCCCTACGCGCAAGCGAATTATTGAAATAAAAACGTAACCAAGTGTTAGTCCCGAAATTACCTAATTTGTGTCGAGTGGACATTAAACCTCATTTCTCGCCCCTCTCTCTCTCTCTCTCTCTCTCTCTCTCTCTCTCACAGAGTAAAAAACGAGTCAAAGCTCCCCCCCCCCCAAGAATAATCAGGACTGTTGACAGATTTAGGTGTAAATTGGAGGACGCGGCTGGCCCCCGGATCCATTCACTTAATTTGATATTGATTTATTTCTTGCAATGGCTGCGTAGTTTGTCCTTGTCCGCAGGTTTGCCTTATCGGTTTTATTTTGTGTGTAGTGCGGTCCTCCTGCATTAACTATTAGGCTGGTGTATCGATGCACAACATGTAACCGGTTATATTTAATATTGGATTTCGTGGAGGGGGGGGGGGGGCGAATGGTTAGTACGTGTGCGCTGTATCATAAGGTCTGCCATTGAGTCAGCTGGCATGGTTTCGATTTCCCGGTTGTACGTGACAAGGAGTGCGGACGCCTGTCTAACCTCGTGGTTTTCTCTGGGTCCTCCGGTTTTCTCCCACTGCTAAAGACCCCTGCGCCCAAGCGAATTATTGAAATAAAATTAAACCATATGTTAGTCCCGAAATGACCTAGTTTGTGAACGTTAACCGCATTTCTCTCTCTCTCTCTCATTTTGAACGAAGACAGACTGTCATCCCACTGAACAAACCAACAATTTTATTTCTGACCCAGATCAATGAGAGAACGCCATTTTGATATGTTTTATCGGAATGTCGAACGTAAAGTTTGTGCTATTAAGTTTTAATTCTGAGATCATAAGACTGTAAATCGAGGCATCAAATTACAGACTTGGGTTTCAGATGACATCACGGTTTGAATTTTTTATTAATTAGAAGTGAAACCAAAGTTGATGCTATCTGTTCATATTTCTATATCGACGTATTAATGAAGTAGCTCAATGAAATCTAAATGAAATGGAGAGAGAGAGAGAGAGAGAGAGAGAGAGAGAGAGAGAGAGAGAGAGAGAAATGGGGTTTAACGTCCACTCGACAAAAACTAGGTCATTTCGGGACTAACATATGGTTTAATTTTATTTCAATAATTCGCTTGCGCAGAGGGGTCTTTAGCAGTGGGAGGAAACCGGATAAATGAAATGGAGTTTAACGTCTTACTATACTTTTCTGCATCATGCTGAGAGAGAGAGAGAGAGAGAGAGAGAGAGAGAGAGAGAGGGGGGGGGGTAACATCCACTCGACACAAACTAGGTCCTTTCGGGACTAACATATGGTTTAATATTATTTCAATAATTCGCTTGCGCGGAGGATCCGGAGAAAACCCACGAGGTTGAAGAGGCGACCCTACTCCTTGTCAAATACAACCGGGGGGATTCGAAATAACGCCAACTGACTCAATAACAGACCTAATACGCGCTAAATTCGTTCCTCCCACTGCTAAAGACCCCCCCCCCCTACGCGCACGCGAATTATAAACCATATATTAGTCCCGAAATGACCTAGTCTGTGTCGAGTGGACTTTAAACCCCATTTCTCTCTATATATATATTAAAATACATTCGAATCAACGTCTATGAATTCTTATTGTTTACGTCCGACTTGTACATACCTTACCAAAAGTTATACCATAACAAATACCATAACAAGTAGTTCTGTGTCAACAAATGACCAAATTAGGACAATGAGAATGGATTTTAATGTCCATTTTATATGACGTCACAGTTTGATGTTGTCATTGTAATATTGTGAGTCTAAATCCAACCTGTATACATTCCACAAGAAGAAGTAATTTGTCAACAAATGACCAAATTAGGACAACTTAAGGTGGGGTTATACGTCCACTTCAAATGACGCCAGAGTTTGATATGTTTAATTGGTGTAATATCGCAGCCAAGTCTAAATCAATAAAAATATTTAACCATCAATTGATCTATCGATTGGTTTTAATTATCTATCTTATCAATAAAATAAAATCAACATCAAGACCAGGTACAGGGGGGTGTAAATATTGAACATAATAGGTATGTTATATAGGCGGTACAACATCACAGTATTACGATGAGGGATAGTTTACCTGTGTTTACCTATGTTAATTATGTACCTGTATATAGGTATGGTAATTAAAGGTGACCTCAGGGCAGGTGAATGGACATATTATAAAATGTCTACACACGGAATTCCATTGGGGAATGAACAACGTAAATCAAAATATTAGAAGAATGTTTCCTATTTCCTCATCGTGAGAGAGAGAGAGAGGGGGGGGGGTAACGTCCACTCGACACGCACCATTGTACTGGAAATAACATATTGTTCATAAACCTGCTGTAGACATTTATAGATACCAGCCCACTAAACTATTGCTACATATATATACACGTATGTATGTAATAATTTAGTTTACCAATATAATATAAAACACATGTTAACTCACGGGCTACTTAAATAAGGTTTTGATCAAAATTTGTATTACAAAATATATCCGATCCCCTTCACACAGTCTTGATCGCATACAGATTTGACTTACTTGTATTTTTTGGTTAATAAAATATCATTTGGTTTATATGTCAGATATTTATGATATGAAACATAAACTTAAACAGGGCTTGGAATTTCCGAAAATCAAACCAGGAAAATTGGTCAAATTATGCGAGAGAGAGAGAGACAGAGAGAGAGAGAGACAGAGAGAGAGGGAGAGAGAGAGAGAGAGTTTAACGTCCACTCGACACAGACTAGCTCATTTCGGAACTAACATATGGTTTAATTTTATTTCAGTGGGAGGAAACCGGAGGACCCACGAGGTTGGACAGACAACCCTACTTCTTGTCACGTACAACCGGGGATTCGAATCAAATTATGCGATTTCTGGAGTGTAAAAGTGTTTGTTTGGATTGGGACAAAATAGTTTAAGAACCTATTGACGGTTTGAACATTTTAAAATTTTAAATTGACCCCATTTTATCTGTTTGTGGACATGCTTGATAACGACTTGTGAAATCTTGTTGAAACGTCGCAGTGAAATAAACCATAGTAATTGTTATTACATAAAAGCATGTTATTTGATGACCCCACAATGTTAATGAAATGCAGACGAGTTACATCCTTGATATGTTTGTGGATGCATAGCTAAAGTTCACGTTACCGTCAACTATTACTATGTATAAAAATAGATTCTTGAAATATCACAAAGTCATTTATATAATGATCTATAAAGCAAATTTATATAATCTTTTAGCTTGTTTTTGTATCATATCCTTAAAATTGTAATGTATGCATGGTTATATATTTCGTGCAATAACATTTAGAGCAGGAAAATTCCCCCCAACCCACAAAATCACACACACACACGCACCCAAATGAAATTACGCATACCTTTAACTTTCTCCCTTTTGTTGTCGAAGGTTGTTTCACATCCAGATATCCAGATTTTTCAATTCCCTTTTCACTCGACATCATTCAGAATAAAGTTCTTTTCATATAACCACGATACTTTTTGTTAAATTCTCTTCCAAGTGATTATTGGTAATCAAATTTGCACTTATCCATCTCTCTGGTGTTGTTATGATACTGTTACTAATCGCTTGTTGTCGATTGTCTATTCGGGCTGTTATCTCTTTCGCCGTAACCTAGATTTCGATATCAGTATTCAATATATATAAGCACCATGTAACACCGTAAAGTTATCCTAACTTGTGACAATCAGCGAATGATACTGAAATCTGAAATACGACACCCCGTTTAAAATATTCCAATTTTATCAGTGAGGTCAAAGATCACTCTAATAACTTAACTAATACTCTATCTTTTTTATGAAGTCACTTTCTCGTCTTGATTGCAACACACTCATCTCTATTTATGATGTCGTTTGTAACTGTACATAACGTCAATGGCTTCAAATGCGCCCCTTGTTGAACCCCGCGCTACAACACGCTGTTAATACGATTGGCCCAGCAGCGCTCCGTGGGCTAATCTCTTATCCAAGCTGATTCAAATGAACTAGTTGTGCCGGGTGATTAGCTATCGAGTGTTAAAATGATTACATAGGGTAACGAAGTTAACTTATGAATTGAAAGCCTCTCGTTTTAAAAGCGCGTGTCAACACTCCAGCGTTAGAACAATAGTCACCCACTTCGCTCCTATCAATTACAGTTTATGTAGGTTCAGCCGTTGCGTCTACGGCGTTACATTAACCACTTGTACAACTACAACAACAATCAAAGTCTTTACATCTTTCACTTTTTATTACAGCTTATTAAAACCAACAGCGTGAAAATTACCGACAGAAGAACAAAATGGACACGTAAATGTTTGCGTAAATTTTCGCGAAATCTGCATCGTTTGTTTTTAAAGTACGATTTACAAAATGTAGCCTTTCTTTTGATTATTTGTTATGAGGAAATGTGTTTGGGAATGGGAGGGGGTGTGGGGACACTGAAAGCGAATTGAAATGAAATGAAATGAAATGGAGTTTAAAGTCCTACTGTTCTGCTCCTAACCTGGGCTAATGAAGACGGGCATACGCCTACAGTGTGCTATGAGGGAAATTTTGCCCGGACAGCGGCACATACGGCCTACTCTTATATCGAATTCTAACCGCCAAGGGATCTTTTACGTGCACCCCAATGTGTACACGGGACCTCGGTTTTTCGTCCCATCCGAACGACTAGACAGCTTTCCTTGTCAGCCCCTCCGTCCTGCATCACTGACAAGGGAGAACCACGCCGGAAAATCTGGATGAACTTTCTCGGCCAATGCAGGGATCGAACACCCGACCTCCAGGCTAGCGAGCTAGCGTCTTACCCACTTAGCCACGTGATCCCCCAAAAGCGAATTGAAGAGAGAGAGAGAAATGGGGTTTAACGTCACTCGACACTAACTAGGTCATTCTGGAACTAAAACATGGTTCAATTTTATTTCAATAATTCACTTGCGCGTAGGGGTCTTTAGCCGTGGGAGGAAATCGGAGGACCCGGAGAAAACCCATGAGGTTGGACTGGCTGGCGACCCCATTCCTTGTCACATACAACCGCGGATTCGAGAAATGTGTTTGGGGGATGGGAGTGGTGTGGGGACATTGAAAGCGAATTTGAGAGAGAAATAGGGTTTACGCCCACTCGACACTAAATAGGACATTTCGGGACTAACATATGGTTTAATTTTATTTCAATAATTCGCTTGCGCGTAAGGGTCTTTAGCCGTGGGGGGAAATTGGAGACCCGGAGAACACCCACGAGGTTGGACAGGCGACCGTATTCCTTGTCACGTACAACAGGGGAATCGAAAGTCAATAGGGGTTAAACGTCAACTCAATATAAACAAGGTCATTCGCTAGCAAAAAAATAACATTTAACGTCGGGGTTCGGGTCGAAGTGGAGGGGAAAGGTGGGGGTCGATAAACTAACTGGGTTACTAACACTGGCAAGGAACTGCATCTAGTCGTTCGGGTGGTACGAAAAATCAATATCCCGTATACAAGTTGGCCTGTACGCAACGAATAAAACCCTGACTGTTTAAATTCGACTTAGAGAAGGCGGAAATGTCACTGTCCGGTAAACTCTCCCCCACTGTCTGGAAAACTCTTCAACCCCTTCACACCACTGCCCCCCCCCCCCTAAATACTGTCTAGCAAGATCTTCCACCCCTACAACCAACCCGCACTGTCCGGTAAGCTCTCACACTCCTCCCCCACCTGTCCAGTAAATTCCCCACCCCTCCCCGATGTCCGATAAGCTCTTTCACCCCTCCCCCCACTGTCCCGTAAGCACCCCCTCCCCCACTGTCATGTAAGGCCCCCACCGTCCCACTCTCCGGTAAGAACACCCCTCACCCCACTGTATGATATTTGCCATTTTTCCTTATCCCGGCTCGTGCAGAACTGTAGGACGCTAAATCCCATTTTATTTTTACGTGCACGCCACTGAATATTTTGCTTTCCCATCCGAACGACTAGACGGAGTGCCTTCCCACACCTACCCCTACCCGCCAAGACCCATCTTGTATCATTGACAAGAGAAAACCACGCCGAAAAAATCCCGAGGAAACTTCGGGGTCGATTCCGGGTTCACAGGGTTGGTGAGCCAAAGTCTTACTCACTGAGCCCCCCCCCCCCCCATGATTCCCCGGGGGTGATAAAAACTATAGACCATCGGGAATCTTACGGTTGGTCAGCCAACGTCTTACTCACAGAGCCCCCGTGCCTGACATTGGGGTAATTGTTGGGCATTGGGGTAATTGTGGGTTAATTTTTTGTGGTGTTAAACCACACACAAAGGTACTTTTATTCATAACATTTTGAAGCAGAAATTATTTAAACCGGAGGTTGGGGTGGGTGGGGGGGGGGCTAGTGGGGCTAGTAGTTTACCGCGTTTCAGGTCTGTCATTGAGTCAGCTGGCGTGGTTTCGACCTATGCGTGTACGTGACAAGGAGTAAAGTCGCCCGTCCAACCTCGTAGGTTTTCTCCGGATCCTCGGGTTTCCTCCCACTGCTAAAGCCCGCCCCCTCCCATCTCTCTCTCTCTCTCTCTCTCTCTCTCTCTCTTCAACCAGTTTAAATCTAATTGTGATGATAAACAGTAGTAACATTAAAAACACAAAGCCGACCCTGGCACGCACCAATATTATCAATGTTGTGAAACTCGCGGTCGTTGATTCAGGACTTTACTGAGAGCGAGAATTACCAGTCTAAGTCCATATGGACCCAGCTCACCAAATATTCCTAGGGAGAAAGTTATTGTCTCCCTTGGTGTGAGTGGATCACCCGAGACTGTACACGGTGGAGAGAGAGAGAGAATGGAGTTTAACGTCCACTAGACACAAACTAGGTCATTTCGGGACTAACATATGGTTAAATTTAATTTCAATAATTCGCTTGCGCGTAGGGGCCTTTAGCAGTGGGAGGAAACCGGAGGACCAGGAGAAAACCCACGAGGTTGGACAGGCGCCCCAATTCCTTGTCACGTACAACCGGGGATTCGAAACCACGCCAGTTGACTCAATGACAGGTCTTATGATACAGCGCGCACGTGCTAACCATTCGGCCACCCAACCCCCCCAGTACACGGTGGACGCTTACGGACCCACCCATATAACAGGTGATAACCAACGAATATGAATACAAATTTCATGGGCGGCGAGTGCCGTGAGAGGAAAACAAATAAAACCTAAAATATTTAGCTAGTTGTATATTTAACGCGTTGGGATTAAAAGAGTCGTGATAACGAATCTTTTGTTTTGTTCAGCGAAATTCTCAAGTGTGAAGGTATAAATTGTCTCCCCGTTCTATTTCCAAATATTATGATAACCATAGCGTTAAGCTCTTCGCGAGTACCTTAGCACTAATTTTAATATTTGTCTATGCTACAGTACGGGGGGGGGGGATGACCGAATGGTTATGTATGTCATTGAGTGGGAGGAAACCGGGGGACCCGAAGAAAACCCATGTTGCGGGACAGACGGCCCTACTCTTCGTTGCGCACAAGTGGGGATTTGAAACCACGCCAGTCGACTCAATGACAAACCTTATGATACAGGGCCATCCACCCCCTCCCACTCAAAAGAAAAATGACAGACCTTATGATTTCATGCACATGCATTAAACCACTAGACCACCCAACAAATCTGATCAAAATCAATCAAAATAAATGTCTTTTACAGGTACAGGGGGTCATCATGGCTAAGTGGGTAAAACGCTGGCTCGCTAGCCTGGAGGTCGGGTGTTCGATCCCTGCATTTGCCAAGAAAGTTCACCCGGATTTTCCGGCGTGGTTCCCCCTTGTCAGTGATGCAGGACGGAGGGCATGACAGCTGTCTAGTCATTTGAATGATACGAAAAACCAAGGTCCCGTGTACACATTGGCGTGCACGTAAAAGATCCCTTGACAGATGGAATTCGATATAAGAGTGTGCCGCTGTCCGGGAAAAATTTCCCTCATAGCACACTGTATGACGTATGCCCGTCTTCATTAGCCCAGTTCAGAGCAAAATAGTAGGACGTTAAACCCCATTTCGTTTCATTTTCATTTTTACAGGTACAACAAATCCTGCCCTTCCCCTCGATACTACCAACCCCACCCCACACTTCACTCTGGCTAAAATTCCCCCCCCCCCCAAACAGACCAGCGTTACCTAAGAATGATTTAACGAAATGAAATCAAATGAAACGGAGTTTAAAGGAGCTAATTCGCTTATATTTGGGATTGGAATTGACACAAATGGGTCGCAATGCATATAATACTGTAATATGAATGTATATAAACTGATTTACATTCAATCGTTTCCATTTTTACTCCAATTTCAAATCAGTTATGTTCGGCGAAATACGCCAGTAGTGTCAACCGAATGGCTATCTCTAGCGTCTGGTTATTCCAATCTACGTCGATAGTATTTATTGCGCATGCTCTCCAGATAAGAATATGGCTTCACCGTTTGACATGGCTTGTGGAATATGTCTAGCCTCGTTCTTCGAGTCCCCTATTACAAATGGCGCTGAAACGCATTATGGTACACGATTCGTGTACCAATCGTAAAATGTTTATTTTGTCTTAAATATTGGATATCAGAAGGCCATCTTTTCCCGGTAAGATCACAACACCAATATTGATTCAAATTGACAAAAATTAGTGTTTTCGATGTCAAAGACTTTGGACGATACTGAGTTAGAGACATAGCTACTTTAACATTCTACTGTTTTACTCCGACTTGGTTAATGAAGACGGGCATACGTCAAACAGTGTGTTATGAGGGAAACTCTGCCCGGGCAGCGACACTATCGCCTATTCTTATATCGAATTCAAACTGCCAAGGGATCTTTTGTGGGACCTTGGTTTTCCGTGCCATCCGGACGACTAGACGGCAGTCCTTGTTAGACCCTTCTTCCTGCACCACTGACAAGGGGAAACCACGTCGGAAAATCCCGATGAACTTTCGAGATTTTTCGATGATTTAACGATAACTGACACATGTATTTCGTAATTAACATAACTATCTAAGCAGTGAAATAGAATACCTATATGAGTTATAGTATACACCAGTCAAGTTGAACACAGAACTTTGATACTATCTTTATAACCGTATCTCATGTAGACTAATATGTCCAGTCTCTTAAATTTATTACCACTCATATCACCACCCGCCTGGTCATTTCCGTCTGCTTGAAATGAAGTCAAATCAAATGGGGTTCAACGTCCTACTGTTCTGTTCCGAATGGGATAATGAAGACGGCATACGCCATACAGTGTGCTATGGGGGACATTTTGCCGTGACAGCGGGGCTACGGCCTACTTTTATATCGAATTCCATCTGCCAAGGAATCTTTTACGTGCACCTCAATGTGTAAACGGGACCTCGGATTTTCGTCCCATCCGAACGACCAGACATTTATCATTGTTAAGCCCCCCGTCCTTCACCCGTCTGCTTGATATGGAATAGAAGGGTTGTGGGGGAGGGGGAGGGGGGGGCAGGGAGGACGCCCTGTCAAGTTAATACTTCGGATTTTTTTTAGATTAAAATAGGGTCTTTTTTTATTTCAGTGGCAGTGTTGCAATGCGAGGGGGGGGGGGTGCAGGGGCGGCGGTGTTTCTGCCTACTCTTCTTCGAATTCCAACTGTTAAGGGATCACCTTGACGTACAATCCACTCAAGATTCTTAATTGTTCAATAGACGTTGTACAAGGGACAACGCAATTCCTGTTGTCAGTAATCTGACCACGCATGCGCGTGACGATTGCTAACAAGACATGAGAAATGTTTTCCATATACAATTGATACTTATTACTGCGCGAAGTTTCGACTAGGCTTGTCTAGTTAATATCACGCAATGATCAGAGAAGCCTAGCCGAAATGTCGCACAGTAATAAGCAGTTATATCGATAGAAGCTCGATCGTCAAAATATATCCATCGACAGCGACAGCCTCTGCCTCTGATCAACGTTAATGTAACGTGTGTCCGGACAACCAAGACTAATATGTGTTATCGGACTACATGTGACTTCCAGTAGATCTGAACTTGTGAATATATAAGGAGGCGTGGCAAGGTAAATTTTCTTTAGTTAACCTAACTAACTAACTTAAAACTTATGAAAAAATATCAAAATTGTGCGATAAACTGTAAAAACCACGGGGTTTTATTTAGGGATGAACTTGGCCCGGGTATGGGAGTACTGAGCTTATAAAATAATTCGAAGGGTGTAGGGGGAAGGGGGTGGGGGGTGGCCGAATGGTTAGCACGTGCGCGCTGTATCATAAGGTCTGTCATTGAGTCAACTGGCGTGGTTTCGATTCCCCGGTTGTACGTGACAAGGAGTAGGGTCGCCTGTTCACTGCTAAAGACCCCTACGCGCAAGCGAATTCTTGAAATTAAATAGAACCATGTGTTAGTCGAATGGACGTTAAACCCCATTTCTCACTCTCTCTCTCTCGAAGGGTGCATGAGATTTTCATATTAATTGTTTTTTTATTTGAATAACACCAGAAATGAAATGAAATGGAGTTTAATGTCTCACCTTTCTGCACCGACTGGGCTAATGAAAACGGGCATACGCCATACAGTGTGCTATAAGAGACATTTTGCCTGGAAAGCGGCACTACGGCCTACTCTTATATCGAATTTCAACCGTCAAGGGTTCTTATACGTGTACGTCAATGTGTACACTGGACTGCGAATTTTTCGTCCCATCCGAACGACTATACATTGTCCCTTATCAGGCCCCCCCCGCTCTACACCACGGACAGGGGGGAACCACTGCACCTGAAAATCCCAATGAACTTTCTCGGCCAACACCGGGATCGAACCTGGGTTCTCCAAGGTTACTGAACCAGCGTTTTACTCACCGAGCCGGGATACGGTAAATATTTACTGATGTCCAAAAGAAAGTATACACACTAAAAGTATGACTAAGTTTTGTTTAGATTAAAAACATTTGATAAAGCATTACCGAGTTTGTCTCTTGCGTTCAAACTCAACATTTCTAAGCAAAATAAAAATGTGAAACAAATTGACATTCTACTTAAATACCGTATACCATGGAAAAACGCCTTTGGTTGATGCAGCACAAAATGCACAGTGTATACTTTCTTTTGGACATTAGTATATATTATGACTTCGATCACTGGGGGCCGTGCTTTTCTTAGATGTGGTGTAGTTTTATGGAACAGACTTCCCAAGAAATCCGAAAAGTTTTACGTTACAGAAAAAAATATCAATTTTCAAGCGCTCTTGAGCAGTATCCCGTAAAGTATGCACCCTACAAATTCATAATTTGATTTTATTTCATATGAGATTTTTTCTAGCCTATTGCGAGATTATTTCACACTTTCAAGCACTTATGGGTGGTTTGTGGTTTTATTCCCGAATGGAGTCGACCCACTTATTACTATATTCCATGTCTTACAACCAACTATTATTATTTTCATTGTGCTTTACTCGTCACCATCATAATAGTCGTCGACATCATTACCATTCATCGTCGTCGTGATCACCATTCATCGTCGTTGTGATCACCATTCAATGCCGTCACTATGCAAGTCTCACTGTCCACAGTATGAACTGCAAGGAAGGACAACTCTGGTTGGGGGGGGGGTACATTATCATTACAATTCATCATTGTCGTTGTGGTCCTCCTCCTCATCATCATCATCATCATCGTCGTCGTCGTCGTCGTCATCACCATCATCACCATCATTCACCATCGTCATTAACTCACCATTCATCGTCGCCGTCATCTCCATCATAGGCATCATCATTATAAATATCAACATTGACATCATCGTCGTTACCGCCGCTGCATGGTCATCGTCATCATTTACGCCCATCCCCCTAGTCACTATATTAATAGTCGATTGCTTATATTATTACCAACCTCGTGGGTTTCCTCCTGGTTCCTCCTACTTGCTAAAGATCCCTACTCGCAAGCGAAGTATTAAAAATTACAAAATTGAACAATATGTTAGTCCTAAAACGTCATAGTTTGTGTCGAGTGGACGTTTCTCTTTGTCTTATATTATTATCGAATTAAACAATATTTTATTACTTAATGCGTCACTGGGGTTAGCACGTACGCCCGGTATCATAAGGCCTGTCATTGAGTCAACGGGCGGGGTTTCGATTCCCCGGTTGTACGTGACAAGGACTAGGGTTGCCTGTCCAACCTCGTGAGTTTTCTCCGGGTCCTCCGGTTTCCTCCCACTGCTAAAAACCCCTACGCGCAAGCGAATTATTAAAATTGAACCATGTGTTAGTTTAGTCCCGAAATGACCTAGTTCTCTCTCTCTCTCTCTCTCTCTCTCTCTCCCTCTCCCCCCCCCCCTTAGTCACTATACTAATATTAGTAATGATTGTAACCCCTGTGTTTACATGTGATATTATAACCTCATAATCAACCTTGACATTAAAGATCATCGTTCCTATCATTATCATCATCGTTTACACCCCCCCCCCCCCGCCCCCTTTAGTCACTATATTAATATTAGTGGTGATTGTAACCCATGTGTTTACATTTTACAGTATTATATTATAACCTGTGTTATCAAACTTGACATTAAACATCATCGACTCCATCATTATCATCATCGTTCCCCCCCCCCCTCAATATATATTAACATCACCCCCGCCCCTTTAGTCACTATATTATGTTAGTGGTGATTGTAACCACTGTGTTTACATTTACATTATTACAGTATAATATTATCACCGGTGTTATCAACCTTGACATTAAACATCATCGTTTCCATCATTATCATCATCGTCTACGCTCCTCCGTATATTATTAATATCAGTGTTTATTGTAACTCGTGTGTAATCAACATTATAATCTATACTGGTGTTGATTACTCACAATCTGTTTATAAAACCTGACACAGAGTCAGACATATAAATAATATTATTATAATACAAACCACTAGTATTCATCAGTTCAATTTTAAACTTTACCTTGTTGTATTGCGAGAGCTTAACAGATCTTTCAACAGGTAAATTGTGTTTGCTCTTTCTAGAACACCTGATACGACGTCTTATTTATCAAAAGGTAAACACAACTAATACATGTGAGTGGCATTTAGTAATTGGAGAGAAGCTCACTAAAAACTAAAAACTATTTATGGAATAATAATCTCTATTGTATAGGGGGGGGGGGGGGCGAATGGTTAACATGTGTGCGCTGTATCATTGAGTCAACTGGCGTGGTTTCGATCGATTCCCCGGTTGTTCGCTACAAGGAGTAGGGTCGCCTGTTCAACCTCGTGTGTTTTCTCTGGGTGCCCCGGTTTCCTCCCACTGCTAAAGACCCCATTGAACTATGTGTTAGTCCCGAAATGACCTAGTTTGTGTCGAGTGGACGTTAACCCCCCCCCTCTCTCTCTCTCTCTCTCTCTCTCTCAGTTTACCTCGTTATGTTAAACCCCATTTCATTTCATTTGTTTTCGGAAACAAGTTATGGATGACGTACTCGCGCCAGAGGAACATCCATTATGTTTCAGGGATATAATAACAATTTATAAACACTGTATTTGTATTTAGATGTCTAACCCCAGTGATGAAAGCACCTACAGTCCTGATAAAGAGCCAACCACCACCAGTACTGGCGAGACACACAATAAGAAGGAGGTGTTCGGTCTGACATTAGACATCGGATACATTAAGAGTATCCATGGTATGCTTAGAGCTGGAGAAATAGTAAGTACTCTAATCCCAATCCCTAGCCCTAGCCGTACCCTCAATAATCAATCCCTACCCTATCGGTACCCTTAACCCTTGTTTCTGTCTGGTAAGACACTGTACGGCGCATTCCCGTCTTCATTAGCCCAATCAGAGCAGAACAGTAGGACGTTAAACCCCATTTCATTTCCTTTTTTCTGTTTTGCGACCAGTTGTTCATCCCGATTTTCCGGCGTGGTTTCCCCTTGTCAGTGATGCAGGACGGAGGGCACGTAAAAGAGGCCTTGGCAGTTGGAATTCGATATAAGAGTAGGCCGTAGCGCCGCTGCCCGGGCAAAATCTCCCTCATAGCACACTGTATGGCGTATGCCCGTCTTCATTAGCCCAGGTTAGGAGCAGAACAGTAGGACGCTAAACCCCATTTCATTTCTTTACGACCAGTTTTTTGGCTACACCGGAAGTACTTTGTTGATACGGAGTATAATCTCGATTATCAAAATAAACGACACTTATAGCCCGACCATTACCAAGGGTACATACTATGGTAATGCAACAAGAGGAGGGCCTAGGAAGATCAGACCGATTTGGATCGATGTGTATGTGTGGGTGGGGCGGAGGGGGGGGGGTGTTTCCAAACGAATGTCTCTAAATCGCCGTGTGAAAGTTTGCTAGCATGTCAACTTGTCTGGCTGACCTCAGATTAACAACTTTTATGGGCATGTGGTATTACCGGGAGATAACTCCTGTTCCTTTATGTAGGAGGCAGACCACCATTAAATTTCAACATGTAGTTCGTCTATTTATAGCAATCCTCTCTCTGTCTCTTCTCTGCCCTTTTGCATGCCCATTTTGGTTGATTTTTTGGTCCAGAATGGACGAAGAGGGTTTGAATTAACATTTTCTGCCAGGTTTTGGTAAATATTCATGATTTTGAGGCAGAAGGATAACGGGGTTATGAGGTTGGCTTCGGTGATATGTACGGCAACTAGTTTTTGTATGCTTCTTCAAGTTTTACCCATTGTAATACCCATTTACACTATATGGATTAAGACTAGTAATTATTTCCCCTTATTTCATGATGGACGAATGTAGTGCGAGTTATAAATAGACAATTTTTCCCTTATTTTTTTTCTCCCCTCTTTCTGCATTTTTTGGTTGACTTTTTGGTCTAGAATTGGAGAAAAGGGATCAAATTTGCAGTTTTGGGTAATACTGATGATATTACAGCGAAGGGATAGGGGGTGTAAAGTGTCTTTCTGCAGAGCAATCATTGTGTCGGAAGTGAGATTTTCACCCCAGTCACTTCAAATCCGCGTAGCAAAAAATCTAAATGGTCAACCCCCGACAAAATTATGATGAGGAGATTGCCAAATGTTGTCCCCATTGTGCCTATAAAGATTGGAACCAACGGAATGTTGAGAAAAAAGCTACAGCCTGTGATGTTACAGCCATTTAACATTGATGTCAATGGGCAAATAATTTCCATATAGGAAATATTTTTTACCTACAAATACGTCAAACGTCTTTAATTTGTGGAAGGAAAAGAGATAATATTTGTGGCTTATTAAGTCGCATCGATGTCATCCTTATCAGTGATTGTCGCGGCCTAGCAAATATTCACTGCTGATCAGTGTGGTTAAATGGCTGTAACACCACGGGCTGTAGCTCAACATTCCAGTCTCTATAGGCACACGGGGGACAGCATTTGGCAATCTCCTCGTCATAATTTTGTAAGGGGTTGACCGTTTAGATTTTTTGCTAGGAAGATTTGATGTTGAGTAGGATCAAAATGTCACTTTCGACGTAATTATTACTCTACACAGACACTTAACATATCCCTCCGCTATAATGTCATCAGTATTACCCAAACTTATATGGAATAGCAAATTTGACCCCCTTTCTCCAATTCTTGACCAAAAAGTCAACAAAAAATAGTGAAAAAGGGGAGAAAAAAAAAATACGGGAAAATTGTCGGAAATAGTTACTAGTCTTAGCGCGGCTTTACAAGATCATAGTTATCTCCCCTTATGCCGATAATGAAATGACCCTTTCTTCACCATCCATCGATTATGGACTATAATCTCATTGCCAGTGGAATTATCTAAACCTTCTGAAATCCAAGTCCAATATATCCTACAAACAGTGAGAGTTGCCGTACACTAGACAGGGTCTGCTTGCTGTCCGGCACCGCATGTTTTTCCTAACTAATATCACAATCTGATTAAACACAGATCCTATTTCGTTTCGGTTTTTTATAGTTCAAAATTTCGTTTTACTTGTCTTTATTACAGTAGGATCTGGAAGAGTTGTTATATTACCGGCGTTTTGGTTGAAGTGAGGGATAAGCCAATGAAACAGTCTGTTATGGCGACTTCTTGGCGTGCCATGTAGGACGGAACTGTGGGTAAACATCTAGAAACGCCAACGCTGATTGATTAATCAATGTCTGACGTCATAGGATCAAAAGCACCTGACACGACCTTCGAGTACAACTTGTCAGATCTTCATATAGTATAGGCCATCGAAAGTATAAAAAAAAACGAAACGAAATATAGATCTGTATTTTAAGCAGATTGCTAATATCAATGACAATAGTCTTGTATATTTTTTATTATTTTTATTCTTTACAGTTTTTAACGTTGGTAGCTTTTATATGTGTCTCGTCTTCAAGAAACGAAGCATGTGATTTCCTGCACGCAGCAACTTATAATTTCTTCGAGTTTACGTCTATGACAGCCTTTCTTAGTACCCTCATTATCTACGTCATCTTTATACTGGAAGTTCATAATAAAATATTCTTTAAATTTGTTCCATGGCTGCTTGCTGTAAGTACTACTTTTTATACGCCCACATTTTCACGTGGACGTATATTGTCGTCGCCCATGTCCGTCCGGACGTCCGTCCGTCCACAATTTGTTTGTGGACTCTCTACAGGTCACAATTCTTGTCCGATTTTGACGAAACTTGAAATATAGGTTTATCCCCAAAAGATCACGGCTGCTTCCGATATTGGCATGTATCGGATCGAAACTTCATGGATTATGGCCCCTGTTTGTACGAAAAATCACGTTTTTAGCTTGTAGACCCTATAGAGGTCACAACATGTTTACAGCTCTCCGTTTTTGTACAAGAACACGTGCAATACTTTTTAAGGCAGAACTATAGTCTGTTTCAATATTCGATATTGTATTAATAGTCATTATCATATTAGTCTTACGTCTGAACTCATTTATGCAACAGATATAAAATGAAATAGAGTTTAACGTCCTACTGTTCTGCACCAACTGGGCTAATAAAAACAGGCATACGCCATGCAGTGTGCTATGAAGGACATTTTGCCACGACAGCGGCACTACGGCCTACTTTTCTATCGAATTTCAAATTCCAATGTATTTCTTTTCTTTGTTTCAAGACGAATTGCAAACACTTTAAACACACCGTTCGACTAGATTATATTTAAGATGAAAATAGGCCAACACACGATGCTGGATGGGTTCTCGCCATTATGTATTTTTCGGTTGTTTTTTTTTTCAGGATGCTCTGTGGTGTGTAGTTTTTGCCTTGATGTTCTTTCTAGCATCCTGTGTTCTAGCTGCGCATGTCTGTCATCAGGGCGGTAACCAGGCAGGGGCGGTAAGTCTCTATCAAGTTTACGGGAAAAGGGTTGGGGGGGGGGGCGCTTTAACTTCGGAGACCATCGCAAAGCGTTGAATATCGGTAGGACCCCAATTCTTCGCTCAAATTTGAAATAGATCCCTTAAAACTGTAGTCTCTATCTCGTTAATAGGGGTTTCAGAAAAGGGGCATAACTCAACAATAAGAAATGTCGTTGTCCGAATGAAATGGGGAATAACTCTGGAACAAAAAAAAATCGTAAAATAGTGAGCTCGAGATCTACATACCCCGGTATCACAGTTGGAAAAAACCCTTCAAAAACTCTCTCCCCTTTCGCCTCAACGAGCAATTGTTGAGTTCTGGTCGACGGAGAGTGGCAATCATCATTCAAAAACTCTCTCCCCTTTTGCGTTAACGAGCGACGGAGCGTGGCGACTATATTCACCCAAACTATATAAAATTACTATCAAAAGTCTGACGTTGATTTTAATTTAATTTTTTATTTTTTATTTTTTTATTTTAGGCTTTTGGATTTTTCTCTTGTGCAGCTATAGGTGCTGATGGGGTATTATCAGGGTTACAGTTTAGAGCAGAAAGAATGTCAACGACTCATCATTCAGCCCCATCTACACTACCAGGACAAACCCTGGAACAATATTAACATCCGTCGACACTACCAGGACAAATTCTAGATCAAATATTAACCACCCTGGACACTATCAGGATAACCCTTGGACAAATTCTAAATAAATATTACAACCCACCCCCTCGATACTAGCAGGACAAATTCTAGAAAAGTATAAGGTCCCAGCCTTCGACACTACCAGGCCAGTTTCTAGTAAAATATTAACCCACTTGACACAACTAGGACACATTCTAGAATTTTAACCCAAATGCCATTTAGCAGACTATATTCGCCAAGACCTGTCGCAGCTTTCTGTTGCATCATTGCGACGCGAAACCTAACTGTATCGTTACAGGCCCGGGACTGTGTAGCAATTGTCGCCAAACACTTTCACATTTAAAGGTGTTTGTGGGCCTGGGGTTTTGGACTATTTCCCCAAATCACCCCCCCCCCCCCCACCCCCTGGATCGTCCTTAGCGATACAGTTGTTTGTAGGCCTGTGGTTCATTTTGGACTTTCCCCCAAAACCACCCGACCCCAACTATTCGCCTACCCTTGATCGTGCTTAGTGATAAAGTCAAATTTGATGCCGATTCACACTATTTTATTATTATCAAGATCGTATAATTCCATGTATGAATGACGTATTATTTATTTTGCTTGCATAATTTGTTTGTTTTGTTTTCTTTTCATATTCACACATTAACTTAATAAAATATCAGTTTTTAAAACTATTTTTTGACATGTTCTGTAAAGCGATAGAGGGGAGGGTGGGAGAGTAGGTCCCGTAAAAAAACCCACCAGTTTTGACAGGAGACCCTAGTCCTTGTCACGTACCAGTGTTGTATCGACGTCACGCTACTTGACGCAATGGCAGCCGTTATGATCTAAAACCAAACGCATTCGCCCCCCCCCCCCCCCCCCCCTTCAATAAAAGGAAGGTTGCACGTTTTTATGGGGACATGACAAGCCAGATCGATCAAGCATACATCTCACTTACATGTACCAAAAAGTAAACATAACTGAAATGAAATGAAATGGGGTTTAACGTCCTACTGTTCTGCTCCGAAATGGACTAATGAAGACGGGCATACGCCATACAGTGTGCTATGCGGAAAATTTTGCCCAGGTAGCGGCACTTATATGGCCTACTCTTATATCAAATTCAAACTGCCAAGGGATCTTTAACGCATATACGAGACCTTGGTTTTCGTCCCATCCGAACGACTAGACAACTGTCCTTGTCAGGTTCTCCTTCCTGTATCACTGACAAGGGGGAACCACATCGGAAAATCGGGATGAACTTTCTTGGCCAATGCAGGGATCGAACACCCGGCTATCGAGCCAGCGCCTTACCCACTTAGCCACCGTGACCCCCTAAACATAACTAATGCATTGTGTGTTTAAATGAATGTCGTGCACGGCGCAGCTACTGATTACCTTTCTAGACTACCTGATACCACTTCTAGTTTATTTAGGACATGCTTGGACTTCCCAGAACGAGTTATACCACTTCTAGTTTATTAAGGACTAGCAAATTACCCGGCGCTTCACGGGTTGAAAGGAGTATGAAACCGGAAGTGGTAGACCAACGCCAACAGGAGTATGTTACTATCAAAATACACCAAATTTCAGCCTCGGGAGAGCCATGGTGTAGCCGCCATCCGTGAAGAGAGGGAGAGAGAGTTTAACGTCCACTTGACACAAACTAGACCATTTCGAGACTAACACATGGTTCAATTTTATTTCCATAATTCGCTTGTGCGTAGGAGTCTTTAGCAGTGGGAGGAAACCAGAGGACCCGGAAGAAATCCATGAGATTGAACAGGCGACCCTACTCCTTGTCACGTACAACCGGGAAATCGAAACCACGCCAGTTGACTCAATGACAGCCCTTATGATACTAAGCGCACGTGTTAAGCCATTCGGCCATCCTACCCACCACGTAAAAGAAGCCTTGACAGTTTGAATCAGTTGCTTTCCGGACAAAACTTCCCCCAAAGCACAATGTATGGCGAATGCCGGTCTTCAGTAGTACAGAAAAGAAGGACGTTTAACCCCATTTTATTGGATTCATTCATTCATTTATGTGGCTAGGTGGTTAAGACGCTGGCTCGCTAGCCTGGAGGTCGAGTCTTCGATCCCTGCATTGGCCGAGAAAGTTCATCCCGATTTTCCGACGTGGTTTCCCCTTGTCAGTTGTGCAGAACTGAGGGCCTGACGTAAAATGCACGTAAAAGATAGCTCATAGCACACTGTATGGCGTTTGCCCGTCTTCATTAGCCCAGTACAGGAGCAGAACAGTAGGACCTTAAACCCCATTTCATTTCATTAGGGTTTCACACTGCGTAGCTTGTGTGAAACACTATTGTTTTTGTTAAAATTATTAGGGTTTCACACTGCGTAGCTTGTGTGAAACACTATTGTTTTTGTTAAAATTATTATTAGGGTTTCACACTGCGTAGCTTGTGTGAAACACTATTGTTTTTGTTAAAATTATTATTCTTATTAAGCTTTCATATTACATATGAAAGCTTATTGTTTCTGTTAAGATTATTATTGTTATTTTTTTTTTGTGTTTTGTCCACAAATCGGATTTCTCAGAATCTAACCATAGGATCGTTCTGAAACTTTTACCTATCCCCCCAAAAATGGGTGGTGGCTGTTGATTAAATATATTTTCAAAACGTTTTACGAATCCGAAATCACCGAATTTTACGAAGGAATGCATTTGACCTACAATGCTGTAACTTTGTGACTATTTTACCTATTTTACTAATTCTTTTTTCTTTGAGTATCTTGAAACATTTACTTCAAATCTGCAATTTCGGATTTTGGCATTTCGAAAATTCGTCGCTGTCATTTCGAACCGGAAGTTATTACCAATTTGACAACTTCTTTAATAGTTTTGCGATTTTCGTGAAATTTAGAATGTTAGTAGATCTTGCCAATGCGACTTCAATGATGTCCTTGGAAATTTTCTAAATTATCTCCCCTTGGTGAAATTAAGGATCAAAGTTTTCAAAAAAATCGTCGAAATATAGGTCAGCATGACCTAAAAAAAATATTCGATACTAGACAAGTAATTACTGATTCGTACACAAAATATGGAGTTTGTCGATCGAACCGGAAGTGCCACCATCTTTAAACGTGAAAAATCAAAAAGGCTTTTTTGCTATTTAACTTTCAGACTCGGGCGTCATATTTTCGGAATCCTGGAAGGAATGCCTAAAAATCTATCGGATCAGAATTTTGATTTCGGTCACGTGATGGTCACCATTTTGAATTGAAAATGAAAAATAGAAGCAATTTGAAGGGCCGGGACTTTGGAACACAAGAACTCTCCTTCTAATTAAGCTAGAATGTTCAAACTTGGTGTAGGCGCTCACTAGGTCAATGTCATGATTGAGTTCAAAGATGAGCATTTTTTGCCTAGGGTAAGCAGAGATAAGCAAGCTGATTTGTTGATTCTTTAGGGCACGATGACATTGGTTATAATGAATGGAGGGCGATGAAACTCTTGTCAATCG